CTCACTGGACAGCTTCTCCAGGGGCTCGCTCAAGATCAGTTGGAACCCGTGGCGCCACGGGCTGTCGTCGGTGGACAGTCTGCCCCTAGATGAGCTGCCCAGCACGGTGCAGCTGCTGCCTGCCCCGACCCCAGCCCCTGACCCTACCCCCGCTCGGCCTGGGGACTCCCAGGGCGACGTCCAGCAGCGCGGCAAACCTGGGGACTCCCGCAGCGCCTCCAGCGATACCATCGAGCTTTGAGATGTCCTGACGCAGGACCTGCCCTCGATGCCCACATGGCATAGCCAACTGGGACGGCTGAGCATTTGAAAAATTGGCATTCCCAGGCCTCCACCTGACTGCAGCCCCAGGGGACAGATGAGTGTGAACCCACGCCCTCCCCCCCCCTTTTTTTTTAATATCTCTATTTTTTTCAGCTGGTATTTTGCACAGAGGCTGTGGCTTATGCGGAATACAGGGTGGATGTGCATGGATTTGGGCATGCGGAATGGGGAGCAGGTGCTACAGACTCCCCAATGTGGAGAGATGAGCCACGCTTGTCCAGATTGACAGTCCTCTTTGTGCCAAAGAAATAAACCCTTAGGACTTGGCTCATGCTTCCGTCTGGCCATGCCAGGATCCTGTCTGTACTCAATCGGAGAAGAGATAGGAAGCCCTGCCCTCCAGTAATTCTAAGGCCTGTGTACACTGGGGAGGGGAGGACTTCCAGAAAAAAGGGTGCTTGACGTTGAAGGCCCTGGTAATCATGGGGACCAGTATCGTATTGACCATCTACTATTTATCTGCTGTGCACTGTCTAGCTCTGCACATCACTTCATTTAATTCTCATATTAAGCCTGAATGGAAAGCATGATCAGGCCCATCTTAGGAACGAGAAGAGTAAAGTTCAGAGGCGAAAGCCATCTATCCCATGTCCTTCACCAAATGAAGCTAGTATTGAACTCAAAAAGTTCTGTTCCTAAACCCAGCTCCTCTATCCCCCTTCTAACACGACTTCAAGGCCAAGCCTCTCCTTTGTCTTCCCTCTACTCCATCAGAGCAGCCCTCCATTTCCCAGGGTTTTAGGAAACTTCCCCCATGGTGGCGGTGGGACAGGTAGTAAGACTGAAACTTTTCCATTTTCTGAGATCTTTATTTCCTGAGATGAATAAATAAATGGGGGGGTGAGGATGGGGTGAATACAGAACAGGAGCTGGCAGCATGCAGCTGGCAGGAGGGGGCTCTGACAGCCCACCCCTGTGGGGACCCCTCTCATCCCAGGCAAGAGCCAAAGCTCACTAGCAGCCACCATAAGGAGAAACTTTCAGAGTTCACACACATTGTGAAGCCTGCCCAGTCCCCCCAGGTGAAGATCTCATGGCATCCAACTTCAAGGCTACTTTTTCACCCCAGGGGCCTCGACTACCTAGGCCTGGGTACCTGGGCTGCTCCGTAAGGCAGGTAAGGGGTGCTTATCCCACTCTCAAACCGAGATATCATCAGTGTCCAGCAGGAGAGAGGCCCAAGCTCTGGGGACAGCCTGGGTGGGAGATCCTGCAGGCGGTGGCAGGGATTATCTGCCCTTGATGAAGCCCTCTAGCACACGGTCACTGCGTTCTGACAACCAGTAGCCAGTCATGGCAGCCACAGCCCCAATGAAGATGGCGGTGAATACCAAGTCACCCTTAGCGGCCAACGTGGCCAGTGCACAGATGATGACACCAAAGAACATCTGCTGCAGCACCACCAGCTCATCCTCGGTCATCTCTGAGAAGAAGCCTGCCGACTCTGCAGAGGGACAAGAGCTGCAACCTGACACTGCTACCCTTGTTCCTGGCAGTGCTTGGAGCCTCCCCAGGACTCCCATAATCAACACTGCTGCCAAGCCTGCCTGGCACACCAGGCATGCAACATCATTCACTGTCCAGAACAACTCCACAAGGAGCAGTTATTATCCCCATCCCACTGAGTGGGAAACTGAGACTCAGAGAAGTGAAGGGTTTGGACGCACTAAGGCCATGCAGTGGGCAAGTCAGGGGCAGAGCATATACTACATGTGTTAGTCCTGCTCCAGGGCCACACTGCCTGGATTGGAATCCCAGCTCTGCAACCTGCTTGCCACATAGCCTGGACAAGCAGCTTCACCTCTCTGTGTCTTAGTTTCCACACATGTAAAATGGGGATGAGGATGATGCCTTGGGCACTGTGTTGTTTCAGGGGTTAAGTCGGCTAACACTGGGAAGAGCCTCTGACATACAGTAAGAGCTGGGAAATGATCCCTATCACCATCATTGTTATTACTCAGCATCTCACCATACCCACGGCATATGACAACTCTCAGCAGGCCAGGGCAAGGACTAGTCCCATTGGACAGATGTGGAAACAAACTTGGGTAGGCAGAGTGATCTGACCAAGTCTGATTCTCCTTCTACCCTGGAAGGTGTGAGGCTGCCAAAAGTCAATGCAGAGTCTGGGTCTCAGAGTCTGGGGATGGGTGACAGGTGGGTCTCAGGGCCTATAGCTGTTGCTGTTGCTGCCGGAGAAGGGGCTTGGCTCCTCCTCCCCTCTCCCCTCCCCAGGGCTCACCTGGGACCTGCTCCTTCACGCAGACACCTTCCATCTGTTTGTAGCCCTCGGCACAGATGCAGCGATAACCGCCCTCGGTGTTTTCACACTGCTTGTTCTCTCCTGGACACACCTCTGTCTCACACTCATCCACATCTTGAGGGAGGGTGGGGAGGGGTCAGAGTCCCGACTGCCAGGGCTCCTCACGCAGCACCCCTGACTCTGTCTTGCTCACATCCTGACACTCCCCTGTGCCCATGCCCAGGCAACATTCCACCCTTCCTTCCCCTACCCTACCCAAATTCCAGCCCCTTCTCAATTTGTGGCAGGCAAGGCACTCCAAGGTGCCTATGTCCCATCAGCAGGAGACTCACCGAGACACTTGGAGCCCACCTGCTGGAAGCCAGGGCTACACTTCTTACAGCGACCTGGCCCTGCCCCCATGCAGCCCAAGCAGGCCTTGGCACAGTCTGGGGGAGGAAGAGGAGAGATGAGGGTGAGATCTGCCCCGAGGCCTGGGGGTGCCACGCTCCAGAAGAGGAGGCCTGGCGGGGTGGCTCTGGAGCCTGAGAAGGGGGGAGTTTGGAGGGATTGGTGTACAGCAGCTCCTCTTATCCTCCCCTATCCCCTCCCCTGCAGAAGCGAACACTCACCTCTGCACTCGTAGGATCCCTCGGTGTTCACACAGAACTGACTGGCTGCACAGGTGGCTCGCTCTGTGCCACACTCGTCGATGTCTGCAGAGAGACAGCAGGATGGGAATTTCAATCCATATTTAACTAACAGGGACACTGAGGCCAGGGCTGCTAGGGAACGGACTTGCCTAGCATTAAATGGTGGGAGAGACTGCAAGTTGTCCACCAACACAGAAGTAGAGGTGCAGCTGGACTCTGGTGCCTAGCCAGAGACTGCATTCTCCAACCTGCCTTGCAGCTAAGTGTGGCACTGTGATTTGAGTTCTGGCCAACAGGATGTAAACAGAAGTGATGAGCTCCACTTTTCGCCTGGCTTTAAAACAATGTGTTTTCCCCCTTTCTCACTTCCTGCGTGCTGAGACATGGAACACAGAGGTGCCCATGGCAGCCCTGGCCATGTAGACAACACTCAAGGGGAAGATTGTACAGTAAGATAGGAAGAACCTGGGCCCTTCAATGACTGTGACAAGAAAGAACTTCCCTGCCAGCTGGGACCATTCACTTCAGCACTGTGGTGTGAAAAAATGACAGTAAACCTTTAGATTCTTTAAGCCACAGTGTTTGGGGGTCTTTTGGTTACAGTAGCCTAGCCTTTACCTTAGTCTGTATTAAGTGGCTAAGCAGGACCAAACCAAGTCTTGAATCCAGGTTTCCTGACCCCAAGTTCAATATCCTCTGGCCAGCCCTTCCTCAGTTTTCAAGACTTGGCCAAGGTGTCACCTCCTCCAGAGAGCCTTTCCTGATTGCCCACCGCCATCTCCAGTGGCTGGATCAGGGACATCTCTTCCTACCCACAGGTCAGTCTACACTGTGAGTGCCTTGGCTCCTTTTCTGCCTTCCCAGCCAGGGTGGAGTCTCCATGAAGACGACGGCTGTGTTGGCCTAGCCCAGGCATGTGTGTGTTCCAGGAGTGAGAAACCAAGCTCAGGCCCCTCCCACCCTCCCCAGACCACAGGTAGGGCCCCACTCACCCACACACTTGAGATGATGCAGGGCCCAGCCCTTCTTGCACTGCAAACAGTGTGATTCCTCAGGTCCGGAGCATCGGGCACAGGGGCCGAAACAAGCTGGGTGGAATGGGGACAGTGTGAGGACAGGCAGGCAGGTGTCCCATCTGCCCTGCCCTGTGCCACACCTTTTGGCTACCTACCCGAACATACCAGATGGCTGGCATTGCGCTCTGCCTCAAAGTAGCCAAGGCCGCACTGACCGCAGGCCTCACCCCCGTAGCCAGCTTGGCAGTCACAGTGCCCGCTGCCCCCTCGCGTTCCTTCCCCTTCACACTGCCCGTAGCCACCACAGGGCCTCTCCGCACCTCCAGGACAGGCTGTGGGAAGACACCAGACAGGGTGAGGTCTTCTATACAACCTTGATATACAAGAGAATATTTCCATATATCATTAAACATTGTTGAAGAGGAAAATTGACTTTAAAGACAACATAATATTTCGTCATAAAACTGAAATTCACTTAAGTCAATTTTTTGAGAAACAGATTATTTACAAATCTTTTTTTTAAAAGTTGGGGGTCTCACTGTTGCCTAGACTGGAATGCAGTGGCACAATCACGGCTCCCTGCAGTCTTGAACTCCTGGGCTGAAGACATCTACCCTCCTTAGCCTCCCAAGTAGCTGGGATTATAGGCGTGCACCACTATATCCTGCTAATTTATTTATTTATTTTTGTAGAGATGAGGTCTCGCTATGTTGCCCAGACTGGTCTTGAACTCCTGGGCTCAAGCGATCTCCTCTTGGCTTGGCCTCCCAAAGTGCTGGGATTGCAGGCACAAACCACCACACTCTGCCAACAAATCTTTTCTTTATAAAGACTCAACTGGCCATCTTTATCTGCAGTTTCAGGAAAGACTGTTTTAAAAGGGGCTGGTAGTAAGTTTAGCTCCTGCACCAGGATTGTGTGTGTGGATGGATGGTGACAATGGGAGCTTCAGGGCAACATCCACCCCTCCCCAGGAAGGTAACAGTCCAACCCAGCATGGGAAACGAAGGGTCTAGGAGGGCTAGCACTTCCCTTACACACAATAGTAACCACACTCGTCCAACTCAGTCTAGCCCCTGTACCTTTTCCACAGCCTTCCCTCATTGATTGGCTCATCTCACCAGCCCTGTGAGGCAGGTGAGAACTGAGGTACAGGGAAGTTATCTGAGTAGCCTGAGCTCACACAGCCAGCTAAGGACAGAGCCAGGACTGGATCCCTGGGCTCAGCAGTCTCCTACTATCCCCCGAGAGGAATTAAAAAACTCACCAAGGCAGGATGGCCCGAAGGTGCCTGAGGGGCAGCAGAGCTTCAGGGATTCTGAGCAGAGCCACTGGAAGAGGTCTGGGGCCTCCCGCTGCCTGAGGCAGGGGCAGGGTGAGGCAGGGGGAAGAGGAACTGAGATAGTGTCAAAGGTGCTGCAACCCTCCCCACCTCTCCCAGGATTTAGCCCATCTTAGGCATAAGACCCATAAAGCTACTTGATCAAAGCTCTTTCCTCATTTGCCAGAGGGGTAAACTGAGGCTCATAGTGGAAGCCTGGGTCCCCCAGCAAGTCCTTAACAGATCTGGGTTTGGAAGAACAGAAACAGGACACAGCCCCCAGCATGCAACCCCCGTGTTTCCTGGCTAAGCAAAGGCCTTTTCGCTAGGGCCCAACTGTGACCCACTCCCAGGGAAGGCCCCCATGCCACTCACTTGTGAAACCACCAGTTCTCCACCAGTTCTTCACTCAGCTCCAGCAGGCGGTGGCACTCGAAGTCCGACTTACTGCACACACCCTCGAGCACCTCTACCAGGCGGGTCTCACTGCCCAGACAGGGTAGGGGTGGTGGGAACAGGCTCTGCGCCCCCTTCACCCACTGCAGGTCTTTTCCCACCCATCCTGGACCATATCAAAGGAGGGATCATGGGGCATAATGGAAGGGGTACTGGTTCTGGGAAGCAAACAGAATTGGGTTCAAATCTAGTTGTGTGACCTTGGGCAAGTCACTTAACCTCTCCTAACTTCTGTTTTCTTATCTGTAAAATGGAAACAACAATACCTCCCCTGCCGGTATGTTCTAAGATACTTCAGTTCCTGCAGCTCAACAATGGAATACAATACCATCACTGGGAAGATATGATTACAAATATATCATATAACAAGTGTTGGCAAAAATGTGGAAAAATTGGAACCTTCTTACATTGCAGGTGGGACTGCAAGATGGTACAATTACTATGGAAAAGCAGTTCCTCAATAAGTTAAACATGAAATCAATGTATGACCTACCAATTCCACTCCTGGGTATAGACCCAAAAGAATGGATAACAGGTATTCAAACAAAAGCTTGTACACAAACATTCACAGCTGCAGTACTCACAATAGCCAGAAGGTAAAAACAACCCAAAAGTCCATCAATGGATGAAAGGGTAAAGAAAATAATGCGCTATAAAACGAAGCATTATACAGCCATAAAAAGGAAGTACTGATATATGCTTCAATTTGGATGGACTTTGAAAAAATTATGCTAAGTGAAAGGAGCCAGACACAAATGGTCACACATTTTATGATTCCAATGAAATTGGCAGATCCATAAATATTTGTTTGATTAATGCAAATTCGTGGTTGCCAGGAGCTGGGGGAAGGGGAGAATGGGGAATGATTGCTTAATGGGTATGGGTTTCTTTTTGGGGTAATGAAAATGTTCTGGAACTAGAAAGTGGTGATGGTTGAACACTGTGAATGTACTAAACATTTCTAGTGGTAAATTTTTTATGTGTATTTTACCACAGTTAAAAAAATAAATATACAAATATTAGATATATCATGTATTTATTTGTTTGTTTGTTTTTTTGAGTTGGAGTCTCACTCTGTCGCCCAGACTGGAGTGCAGTGGCCACTCCCGGCCACCGCAGCCTCGACCTGCTGGGCTCCGGCGATCCTTCCACCTCAGCCTTCCAAGTAGCTGGAACTACAGGCGTGCGCTACCACGCCCGGCTAATTTTTGATTTATTGTAGAGATGAGGTCTCGCCAAGTTAGATATATCATGTATTTAAAGAGTCTGGCACAATGCCTGGCATATAGAGGGTGATTTCTGTTTGTTTTTTGTTTTTGGAGTCGGCGTCTCACTCTGTCGCCCAGGCTGGAGTGCAGTGGCACACTAATGGCCACCGCAGCTTTGACCTGCTGGACTCAGGCGACCCTTCCACCTCAGCCTTCCAAGCAGCTGGAACTACAGGCAAGCGCCACCACGCCCAGCTAATTTTTTGATTTATTGTAGAGATAAGGTCTTGCCAAGTTGCCCAGGCTGGTCTCGAACCTGTGGGCTCAGGCGATCCTCTCACCTCAGCCTCTTAAAGTGCTGGGATTATAGGCATGAGTCACCATGGCTGGTGAGGGTGATTTTTAAAACTAACAACACAGGAGGCCATATAAAGCTGGAAATGCTCTTGTCTCTTGGCCAATCCCCTTATTCCTAAATGAGGAAACTGAGGTCCGTGATGGGAAAGGAGAATGACCAATGCTACATAATAACAAAATCTCTTCTCACGGCCACCCCAGCGTCAACCTGCTGGGCTCCAGCGATCCTTCCACCTCAGCCTTCCAAGTAGCCAGAACTACCGGTGCATGCTGCCACGCCCAGCTAATTTTTGATTTATTGTAGAGACAAAGTCTCACCAAGGTGCTCGGGCTGGTCTCGAACCCGTGGGCTCAGGCAATCCATTCGCCTCGGCCTCCCAAAGTGCTGGGATTATAGGCTGAGCCACTGAGCCCGGCTTATTTATCCTAGTTTAATCCTTAACACAGTCCTATGAAATAGACAAAGCAGATATGAATATCCTTTTACAGGTGAAGAAACTGGCTCTGAGAGGTTAAGTAACCTTCCTCAGGTTACAAATGGTGAGAACTGACAACCAAGTGAGTCTAACTCCAAGTCTTTGCTGACTCCTCTTCAATTTGACAGAAAAAGTGGGGAGCCTAGGCTCAGGCCTCAGCTTCCTAGAGGATCTCCTGTCTTCTCGTGGCTGTACATACTGACTATATGCTGATGACTCTCAAATTCCTGTTTCCTGTTCCTATTTCTCCCCTGAATTCCAGACTTGGATGGCATATACTCAGATGTCCATTGGACATCTCAGCCCAACATGTTCAAAGAGAACACCTCATCCTCACTGCCCCCTAAACTTTCTCAGATCTTACCATCTCAGAAAATAACTGTACTCTTCACCTAGTTACTCAGGCCCCAAATCTAGAAAACATTTTTTATTCCACCTTTTCTCTCACAGCCCATAGTGAATCCATCATCAAATCCTTTTGGTCTATCTGTGAAACATACCCAGAATGTGACCCCTCCTCACCATCCACCACTAGATACCACGCTAGCTCACACGGCCTTCATGCCTAGATGGTGCACTAGCCTCCCAAACTGGTCTCCCTGCTTCCTCCACCCGGGCCCCCTACTGTCAGTTTGCTACATAGCAGCGGGAGAGGCCTTTTAAAAGCCTAAGTAAGACCACATCACTTTTCCTGCTCATAACCTTCCAGTGGCTGCCCATTACACTTAGAACAAAATCGAAACTTTCTTTAGCCTTCAGAACCTGCCTCTGCCTTCACTTTCTACCACCCTCCCAGCCACATCTCAAATACGCCAAGCTCAGTCCCACCCTCTGCCCAAATCCCTCTCCGACTGCCACACAGCTTGCTTCTTCACTTTGGTCTCTGTTCACGTGTCACACCTTGGACAACTTGCCTCCCATTGTTCTATAGTCCACCTTGCTATACTATTTGTTCTTTGCCTGACATTTATTATTCACTTATCCACTGCTTGTCTCCTCTACTAGAACGTAAGCTCCAGGAAGACGTGATGTTGCTTGCCTTGTTTACTGCTGTACTACAGATGTTCAGTGATACACACACACACATTTTGAGTTGGGGTCGCCCAGGCTAGAATGCAGTGGCAAGGATGACGGCTAACCAAGGCCTCAACCTCCTGGGCACAGGCGATCCTTCCACCTCAGACTCCCAAGTAGCTGGGACTACAGGTGCGTACTACCACACTGGCCTGATTTTTAAATTTTTTTGGTGGAGTTGTAGTCTCGCTATGTTGCCTAGGCCAGTCTCAAACTGTGGCTCAAGCAATACTCCCTCCTCAGCCTCCCAAAGTGCTGAGATTACAGGCATGAGCCACTGCACCCTGCCCAGTGGTACTGTTGAATGAATAAGTGCTCTCCAAGAGTCCCGAGTCTTGGAAGCAGAAATTGGAAGGGGGGTTATACGCCCTCCCCCTAGTCCTTTACCTGTCTTTGTATTTGGATAACTTCTCTTCCTCCCAGGCAGTGTTTCCACCTCCAAAGTTGTCCCGGATGGTTCTCTCCAGGCCCTGGAAACAGTGAAAATTAGTAATATCTAAGTACAGAGCGTGGCACAGCTAGCACTTCACTATTTTACTGACCAGGAAACTGACCCACCGAGAGGCAACCTGACTAAGGCCATACAGCTAGTAAGCGACCAAGATGGGACTTGAATTCATGCAGATTTGCACCCCAGAGCTTCCCACGCTCAACCACTATGCTAGAGTAGCTGGCTCCCTCTCCCACAAGGTTACTGGTGTACCCACCTTGTTGAAGCTGTCGACTAGTCCCCGGCAGGTATGACAGGGATGGAGCTCAGGCAGGGGAGAAGACTGGGGAGGCAGAGAGGACTGGAGCCAGATGGGGCCTGGGAGGCTGAGGAACAGGATCAGACCCCAGAGCAGAGCTGGGACCAGGCCCCTCGGGGGCTGTGGGGCCATCTTTTCCCAGACTGGGGACCTGTGAATAGAGGGTGTGGGCAGGGTTCACTGAAGGAGCCAGGACCCACGTTAGAGAGAAAAGGGTCGGTTCTGAGGTGCTGCGGGGCTGAGAATCCAGATCTGTGTTATTGTAAGTAAAGGAGGCCAAACTGCGGTATTGCAGGCCAGCGGAAATGGGTGGGGAAAGATGCATAATCCGTAATTCTAGAAGAAAAATAAGTTATCCCCGTTACCGTGGGGGAGAGGGTGGCCTCGATCCTCAGCAAGGGGACAGATGTCAGCCCATTGTTTGGGGTCTGAACAAAGGTTATTAGGGGCTGGGTCAGCACCGTTAGGGAGAGGTCAGATTCCAAGCACTGAGGGAGAGGAGGACGGATGGGCGGTCCGGGGGGAGGTGTCCGGAACCCAGGTCTTGGGGGGAGGAGCCCGGAGCCGGATATGAAGAGACGGGGCCAGGATCGGGCCGCGCAGGCTGACAAAGGCACGGCCCACGAGCCGGTAGGGAAGGATCCAGGCCCGCGGGGACCGCGCGGAGGAGGAGGCCACCCGCCGAGCCTGCGGGCGCCGCGGGCTCGGGCTCCCCAGCGCGTCGCTGCCACCGCCTGCGTGAAACGTCCGGCCTCCCCCGGCGCCGCAGTCCGGGAGGCGGAGCCCGCCGTCCAGCCAATGGCGGCGGGCCATGTGCCACGGCGTCCCTGGGCGCCAGCCAACCAGAAGCGGCGCCGAGCGGCACCTGTCCCCGCTTTAAAGGGCCGCGGGGCTGGAAAGGCGGCGTGCCAGCCCGGCCGCTCCACCGCAGAGACACGTGTGCGCCGCGTGGATAGAAAAACAGCATCTGCCTTTATTCCGGTACTGTCCCCCGCCCCAGGTCCCATCCGCGTCCCGGCCCCGGGGCCCTCGGGGGCTGAAAGCAGCTCTCCAGGGCTGGCTGCAGGGCCCGGGA